TCTTTATACCAAAAATAGAATATTGAAGTCATTTCAAGAGCTTAAAGATCAACATAAGCTAAGGAAAGGGGATTAAAGTAAACGACACCAAAGAGAGATCTACCCAGGTTTGGAAAAAATGTCCTGTTGTGTGATAAATGACGATGGATAGAACTGTAATTAGCAGATTATAAGGGTGTTTTTGTTTGTTTTGTTTTTATTTTATTTTTGTTTTATGTTCATTTGTTCTTCTTTTTTACACTTATTTAAGTAACTTATGTGAACCCAGTTTACAGTTCACAGTGTGTTCACACCTCTAGCCTAAAGTGGTGATTACTACAGCGACTGCATCTCGTACCTTACCACAACTTCCTATTCAGCATATAGCATCACTTGAGCAGCTTTTATTTAACAGCATTCTTCATCTCTCGCTGTATAAAACATCCTGTAATATGTTCCAGTAAATACAGTTCCTAGGCTGTGACTGACGCAACTTTGAAAATAATATCTTTGATTCCTTTTTTGCATATTTTGTTATAAGTAGAGATGAAGAATTATTATTTATATTTATTATTTTATTGCTCACCAGCAGACTAGTTGATAGTTGAAATTGTTGCTAACAGTCTTGAATCTAATTAGATTTTAAAAAGATAAATTTAGTGATAAAACAAATTTGAGTTGTTGCTAAATTGTGTGTGTGTGTGTGTGTGTGTGTGTGTGTACCATAGTGCGGGTGGAGGTGGAAGAGAAGAAGAAGATGAGCTGTTTGATGAAGGAAGCTTGAGGAACATCACAGTCCTCAATGACTGAAACACTTGTATCACTGATCGAACACACCCCGTGAGATGACTGCAGAGAGAGGGAATTCATTTATTAATGTTATATACACACTATTCTACCACTGATGTTTGTAATTTACTCTGACAATGATGACTACTACTAGTACGACTACTGCTGCTATCATTACCCAGCCAGCGACCGAGTCTGAGCGTGAGAGTTTAAGTGTCTTAAAGAAACCGTCAAAACCCAAAACCCAGGCTGGGTTCAATCGGATGTCAAACTCTTTTTGTGTTAATGACCGATATAACACTGTCTAAAACTCCTGAATTCTGAAAGTTGACATTACATTTCTGGACAGATTCTTCTTGTTTAATAGAGTTTGACAGTTCCTGATTTATTTTTTCCCAATTTTAAACTATTGTTTTGAGAAAAAAATCCTGTCCAGCTGTCTTTGTTTGGTGATATTTCTTAAAAGGTTAAAAAGTTTTTAAGAAAAAA